GTATCTGCCGTGCCCATCCACTACTGCATTGTGTGTCTGTGGGTTTGAGTCCGAACTCGTTGTACGCAAGGTAGGAGCTTTGAACGGGGAAAGGGATTGAAATCTGCAATAAAGACACGAATCATGACATACTCACAGAGAAGACACGTAAGTAAGTCCCAAGACTCGGGAAATTATCATATAAGACTTTCTGGCATCTTTCTGAGGTAGAACCCGTAGTCTATAAATACAGTAAGATTGTACTACAAGACGAAACTGGCGTTTGCATGGAACTGAATTGAAAAATTCGAGGGTTTGTCCATCCTGTGATATGATTGCAAACAGGGACTTGTATCAGGTCACATTTGCGGCTGAATAGCTGTGCGAGAGTTCTGGGAAAGCAGGCAGTCCCTCCGGCAAACAGGACGTGGCTTTTCAGCCAATCTGCCCAACTCCTTTGTACGCAGTCGATCTTGAAGTTTTGTACAACGCATCAAATCCAGCAAAGCTGGTAAGTCCGCCATTCCTGGGAAACGTGCAACAGCGGCCACAAATCAAGGCAAGCGTCTTGACGATCACCAAAATCTTCACATGGTTCATCTCGGCCAGGATTTCCCTCCCTCGATCTGATTGCAGCAGGGTTGGCTCTTTGAACCCTGCTAAGATTCGAAGCCTTCGCTTGCTACTTTTCGTTAGCCTTGCCGACAAGTCCTCACGTCTGACTAAATGCTCGAGATTCGAACGGCGGAACAAGTATTGAAAGGAGCCTTCCTGGAAGGAGTCCTCTTTGTCATGGAGCAGTTCCAGCCGCGGGTGTGTGTCGAGCCAGGCGGCGAGAGAGGTGGTGCCGCTCCGTCCAAGGCCGACGATAGCCCAATCCACGGGAATCTCTGACCGATGGGCGAGCTCTGCAAATTTGAGGCTGCCAGCATCAATTTCTAGTTCTGGATGCCAGGAACCCATTTGGGAGGCCAGCCACCACCGAGCCAACGTTTCCCTCTCAGCGTTCCAGATCAAGTGCATCGACGGCAAACACATCCCAAGCCTCAGCTGCGCATATAGGTAGACTATAAAGGTGACGGAATATTGATTGGCTGTTTGCTCTTCAAAGTCTTGCTGAGACAGCACGCGCCTTCTCAAAGTTTCAAACTTAGCAGTCCCTCATTCGTGCATTCTATGAGCTCGTACCCCATGGCTTCTTCATCTATAGCATTGAAGTAGACTCCGACGTACATGCTGCCCGCCGCCTTGCATTTTCTGTAATGCGCGAGGGCTACCTGCATCAGATCAAAAGGTTTGCCCCAGGCACTTGTACCAGCCCTGACCTCTGTGCCTGGGCGACTGCAGCCTCATCTTTGCCAGGACTGCCGTAGGGCAAGCTTCCTTGGGCATTGCTAGGGCTGCTAAGGGTTGAGAAACGCAGGCAATTTCACAAAGCCAGCTAAAGTTGCTGAAGGCGTTGGAGCCACGAGTCGGATTTGCGCGCCAAACGTTGCGCGGAAGAAAGTCTTGTCTGATAACAAGCGCCACATGTCCACGACCCCGTAGCAGGCTGGGACGAAGGTGCTGAATTCCAAATGGCGCTGACACTCGGCCTGCGACTAGACTGAGAACCCAACAAACAGAAGCGACATACAGAAAATGGACTTGGCCTCGAGAACCTCGAAGCCGTGCAATGCGGATGTTGTGGTGCACGGGCCAGCTCCTGGGTGGTGCCTGGCACTTTGGCCAGATCGTCGCCACTCCTGACACGCCACGTGCCACGCTGCTTATTCTACCTGGCTGCTGTTCATGAAGGTCTGAAGGGTTTGCACTCAATGTCTGATGTCCAGCAGTCGTGGCAAGGCCACGTCTGCGAAGGTCTCTGAACATGAGGACGGAATGCAAGCCTCTGCGTTCAGGCGTCACCCTTGAACATGTTGGCTTCCTTGATGCAAAGCTGAGGTACCCCCACGCGTAGGAATCGGTAACGCAGGTCCGCTGCGAGCTGCAGCGAGCCGGTTCCCTCGTGACAAGCACAACTGTGCTGCGGAACTTGTCGCTCAGTCTTCTTGGTCTGGTCAACCAACCGAGTGACCGCCAAGTATGCAGGATGCAGCAGCACTTCCTGCGCTAAACGTCTCATCAACTCGCGCATGCGCTCGCACACAAGTGTTGGGGTTTGAAGAAGCTGTATCCGCTGAGACTTAGAACGATGGGCCAACATGCTAGATGCTTGACCTGGAAGTTGCTTCCAAAATCCAAAGCTGCTGATCGCACTGTAGCTCCACCAGAAGATGGCTGGCTCAAGGAAAAAAGAGCGGTCATGCTCATAGAGCTGTTAGCCATCTGCACCTTTTGCACCTAGCCGTCTGTTGGGGCTATGTTAAGTACTGTGTAGCCACTGCCTGAAGCCTCGTTTGGCACTGTCATCCCGAATTTGAACCCCGAGTATGTGTTGGCAACTTCCGAGAACAACATGACCCGGCGGGTGAGATGCCACAAGCAACACGCTGTACTGCACTTTTGACGGCATTATGTACTCCGAAACAGCGAAGAGAGGCACGAAATGGGCTTACAACACATTCATGGATTGAATGTCTCGTGCTATCTGCGTGCGCCAGTCAATCAGTGAGTTAATGAGTCCTCCAGTCGGCACATGGACAGAAATGGCTTGGTGTATGGTATACCTTTAGACGCCAGACTGGGTGGGCTCGTGCACGCCACCAAGCTTTGACGAAAACACTGAAAGGAAGACCAGCAGGGCAAAACCTTGCTCACATGCACCATCATGCAACATGGCAGTCGCGCTCCTGAAAAAGCATTCCGCCGAGGCAGCTTGGCAACTGGTGGGAAGCGCCGCCTCCAATCGAGAAAATGCTTTGTGCCTCTTCCTGATGTATATGATGAATTGGGTCTGCAGAAAGAAAAGGCATCTGCCAATTATGGGAAAGAGCTGCCAAGAATACTGAAAGGATGTTTAGGGGCATTATGCTGAGCTTGCTTTGTGGACCGGTGCGCGGTGGATGCGGTGAGCACTGCTTTATGCTCTGCAAATCTCCATAGGCAACGCACTGTTGATGCCTTCTGCAGCCGAGGGGCTTGCCGAAGTATCCTTACATCATTAAGTCAATTCAAGTTACCTACATCTTGGGTGCAACTGCCTGCTACATGCACTGCACTGAACCGCTGAAATCACGACCGATTTGCCGACGGTCCAATAGCCACTGTGCTTGGCAGAATGCTGCGGTGCCCACCGGCAGCATCCAAAGCAGCTGCGCACTTCGCAAACTTCCTCTCGCAACACAGACCACTGACATACACAACTCAAACCTTCTGCTCAGGCGAGGTGCTTTCCCAGCGTGTCGGCACCTGTTGCGGTGAAGTCCTTAGCAAAAGCCATTAACAAAGAACCCTGCAGCGAAAGAGGGCAACTTAGGCGAGACTCTTGATCTTGTGGAGCCGGCACCCCTGCGCAGCCTTCCATGGATTCCCGCGCAGCCAGCTCGGACAGCGAAGCCAGTAGAAGCCATGGTGGTGAGGCGAGCGGCATGCATCGGGAAACCTGCTCAACGCTAGGCGAACTGATCTTGCAGCAGCAGGAACAGTCGCTTTGGCGACAATACTAGCAGCAGAAGAAGCAACAGCAGCAATAGTTGTCATTGTAGCAATAGTTGCAGCAGTCGTAGTAGCAGTAGAAACAGCACAAGCAGGAGACAGCAGAAATCGTGGTGGTCATGGTGTTGGTCTTCATCGTCGCGCTTGCAGTAGATGGAATAACTACCATGCATGTGTGGTAGTAGCAGTGGTAGTATTATTAGCAGCAGCAGCAGCAGTGGTAGGAATAGTAGTAGGAATAACAATAATAATAGTAGTAGTAGTAGTAGCAGTAGTAGTAATCGTCGTCGTCGTAGTGACTGCAGTGCAGTAGTAGCAGCAGCAGCTTCAGTAGTCGTCGTAGTGGTAGTAGTAGTAGTAGTAGTAGTAGCAGCAGCAGCAGCAGCAGCAGTAGTAGTATGGCAGCAGCAGCAGTGGTGGCAGTGGCGGAGGAGGCGATGGCGGTGGCGGTTGCGGTGGTCGGGGTGAGGCCGTAGTGGTGTTGGTGGCGGTGGTGGTGGCAGGGAAGGTGTCGGTGGCGACCGGTGGTGGTAGCGGTAACAGTATCAGCAGCACCAGCAGTAGTAGTGATAGTAGTCATAGAAATTGTCCTAGCAGTAGCTGTGGCAGTAGCTGTAGCAGCAGCGGTAGCAGTAGTACTAGTCGTAGATGTAGGCGTAGCAGTAGCTGTGGCAGTAGCATTAGCAGTTGAAAAGTTATAGTAATGGTACGTACCGGTACTAGTCTCTCTTTCCTTCAGCGCTGTATCTGTGGCATACTTCCCAGGTGGCGATTTTGATTGAAGACAAGGCTGCAAACCCTAGAAATCATCACCAGCTTCAAGCGAATCCAAGGTGAAAAGACGAAAAGGACGTATGTGACAACTATGGGAGCTGACATCAGCCCACAACAGCGCCACACTCAGACAGTGCACGTTGCACACTGTATGAAGCGTCTATAGGCACTCCCACCACCGACTGAGAGTCTACTAAGTAGCGCCTTGCTTTCGCCCCTTGGACTATCGTGGTAGCGATGTAGTACCGTGGCAACGTTGTTGTTTTAGAGGTCTTCCAACATTTCACAATATTGCATTACAATGTGCTGGGTCCCTTGGATATCACAAGCTTTCCGTGAGGTGAACTCCAGCAAGTTTGGCTTCCGGTTTATGCTTGACAAGTATGAGCATCACCCAGGACATGGCTATGTAAACGATAGTCTTGTCGGCTGCTCATCTGCACCGAGGCTTGCGTTCGCACAACCCAAACATCCTGCGAATCTATTCTTGGTGAAGCGGCTTCACTATCCAGCCTCGAAGAAATCAACTCAGAGCATGCTGGCTGCCATGTGGGACTATTGTGGACTATTAAGCGCTGGCTCACTTGGAGTTCGCAATTTCGCGCTACAGTTCACCTTTACAAAGTGTGGCTGCTTTTTCCTCAAGACTCTCTGCATGACGCTGACAGAGCCGAGCCAGGGCCAAACGTATTTCGCTTCTAAATCTTTTAACATTTCGAAGATTTCCGACATACAATGGACGTAAGGCTGTCTTCTGCATATCTTCATATCTTTGTCTGAAATCTGCTTCGACCAGCAAAGGCCACAGCGAGCGCTGCTTCTCTGACTACAAAGCCTACAGCCACTGCAACACAGCTGCTCTGGCATTGTCATGTGCTGAAGCGTCACAAAGAGTCCGGGCAGTGGAAGGGCTCTCGATACCTTTGGCCTCAAGCTGACATCTGCGGCTTGGCCAGCCGACAGCTATCAGATCATCTTTTCATCCGTCTCGCGAGGAAGCGTAGTGCAGCAGGGGCAGAAGCTTCTGCGGCCTCTGCTAGCGCGTTTAGTGAATTGGTTGCCAGCTAGATGAAATGCGCGCATCTTACCCGTTTCATTCTTGCTGCAAATCTTTTAGGGATTGCTAGTACAATTTTCAACTGAGAAGCGGTGCGGCTGCGCGGCAAATTGGGCATGAGGGCTTCAACGAGCACCTCGGGTGAATGAAGAACTGCCCAGCACGTGTCGACAAGTGAGAAATCGAAGGCTTGGTCAAGCATCTTCTCGCTGAGCCCGAGTCAAATCCAAGCCTGTTGCCTTGCCACCCCTTTTTGAAGTTAAGTTGATCTGACATGTTCTGAACGTGCAGCTCAAGGAGATTGCCGATCTCTACGGCACCCACATGTGCAATTTCACGCTGTGACACAACCTATGATTTGGAAGGCAAACCATTCTGCACTGCTGCTTATGTTTGCATCAAGCTGGCAAATGTGAAGCATGGACAACGAAAACGCAAGCTTATGGACTCAACCAATGTAACTCCTTCCTTTCCCCTATGAGTAACATGTGTAAGAGTATATGATCATGACCTCGTTTCACAATCCAAGGATGCAACGAGGACCTCCTTTTAGGGAAATGCCCTAGCGTAGCAATGAGTTTCTGAGGACGCGGGCAGACAGATACATTGACGAATGGGGCAAGCGACGAAGCCTTTTTCATCATTGAGGGCAAGAGTCCAGCTTGTGATGCAGTCCCAGCAGAATAAATGGCCACATGACGTAGCCGTTGGAATTTCAGCCGCGCACATACAAATGTTGCCTCGAATGCTTGCATAGGTTGAAGCGGACACGCAGACAGGTAAGGGAGGCGCGTCATGTGAGAATTGTCAGGATTGCACACTCAGAGTATGCGATTATTCAAGTGGGCAGCAGAGAGGAGCTTCCCCGGGACCGCGAGAAAGTCTGCCCAAGCTGCTGCTGGTATCCCAGTTGCCTGGCAAGTTCTGTCGTACTTAGCAGGGTCAGAAGACGCCCCCAAGATAGCTCTCTTTTGCAGGGTTGTCACCTGCCATTGAAATTGCAGTGTCAGCCGGCACCGTTGATGACCTTCTTCTTTCTAGAGCGATGAGGATCACCTCACGGCTGCTATGGTGAGTGGAGCATGTGGCATCAACTGCACTGGTGGTCAAGCTCTGCAACCCAGCCTGTCCGAGCACTTGTGCCAGCAGCAAGACACCAAGCGGTCGATAGCTGAAGCTGCGATACGGCCTCTCGGCCATGCTCACAGAACGAAGGGACAGACACCTATCGGACACATGGCGATATTTGCCAAAGAGGTAGAACATGGCCAGGTGAAGTCCTTGCTTGGCACACTTACATGGGAAGCTTCCTTCATCTGAGCCAGCTCAGGGGTGAAAAATATCTGCCGGCCAGTAGCGGAGAAAAATTGGGACGTACGAAGATGCCAGTGCTGCCAACCTCCGTGGCAGTCTTGCTTCAACACTTGGCCAGGCTGCCCCAAGGCTGGTAGCAGCAAGACGTCGCTGCCTTACCCGCGCAGCCGCAGTCTACAACTTGCTACCAAATTCTGCAAGGCTACTTGCCGACGGCTTGGGATGTGGCCAGTGGCTGGGCTGAAGGCCCGGGGACACTGAAAGCAGCTCACAGTACCTAGGCGTTGCAGCACACTTCCTCATGACCGTGCCTTGCACGGAGGGTCCGTCACAACAAAACATCCACACAGCTTTTCCAAGTTGCTCCTCACCTAGGGTGCTGCCAGCAAAGACTGCTGTGCAAAGAGCATATGCAAAGTCGGCCAAGGCTCCTGCGATTAAGGAGTCAGAATCTGTTCTGGCGGCTACGAGTACCCATCTCCTAAGCCTATGCAGTGTATGCAGCGCGCAGCTCTCCAAAGGCTCCCGCTGTTGACTGCCATGCAGCAGCTCTGCGGCCCAAAGTCTCGTCGACAGCATCTAAAACCAGACGGCGGAGCTCACCTACGGGCAAGTGCCGGCAAGCCATGCTGTGTTGCCAGGCATGGCTCAGTTGCAACTTGACAACAAAATCCCCGCCTCTGCACTGCTCGTCTTTCTGGTGTGCTCGCACCAAATCTGCAGGATGAGCGAAAGGCAGCGGCGGCGGCAAGCCAGTGTGCCGACCGGCCATTCTGTAGACATGTCATTTATTTGATCTGTCCATCTGATGTCTGCTCTCTCACGTAAACGATACGAACTGGAAGGTACCGTGGCCACGCTGCTCGCCAAAAAGGATCCAGACAGCTACTCATGCAAAGCGTGCTGCTGAGTTTGGTAAAAATATTGAAACGGTGCTTAAAACAAGTGGACTTGACAGCTACCTTCAAACCAGCAGAGTCTGCGTGAGTCATACGGCGGCAAAGTGATGACGACTGCACCAATGCAGACAACAACAGGGACGAAGACAACGACAGTCAGCAAATGGACAACGAAAAAAGAGGACGTGCATCAGCGGGACTACTTGGATAAAGACAGGGACGAAGACGAGGATGACGACGACAACAGTCTGGACAACGACAAGACTTGAAGAAAGATGATGGATGTGATGGCGACCACAACGGAAACAACAACAAAGGCGACGACAAGTGCAACTCCATTCAGAATTCATCTGACTGCGATTCCGAGGAGTGATTGTCAGCAGGTGCGCCCTGCTTCGCTCATACGGCTGGGCAGTGAGAAAATCAGGTCTATGACTTTGACGAGGTGGTGGGCAGAGCAGGAAGAGCCCTAGCGCATAAACAGTTGCTCCTGTACACTGCCTGAGAACACCTCAGCCAGGGCTCTTCTCCGGTTGGCCAGGAACATGTGCACTTGCCTCCCTGAACCAGACAGCTCATAGGGCGTGGGCGGATTTACTGTCACGGCGCCAGTTGCCATCGGTATCATCAGACACTGGTCAAAACAGTTTGGAAGCAAGTACGAGTAAACAGCTCATGCGAACCCCTTCATGGCAAGCTTGCCTTGCTACATCCGCAGAAAACTTTGCCCGTCCCAGTATCATATCCAAGTCTCAGCGCGCGCGAAATGATAAGTGCTTTGATAAGCTGCCGTTGTACATTGGCGCCGCTTGCGGATGTGGCCCTTCACTCCAATCACAACGAAGCGAAGCTTCTGATGAAAAACAGGTGCCGAATAGTTTCCCCAGCCTTCCTCCTTTCGTAAGCACACAAGTTGAAGGATGAGAGATTCTGTTCCGGCACATCTATTCCATGCTTAGTCACGACTGTCAAAGAGAAGGCAGGGGCAAACTAGAGCCCAGCTAGATGGCGGCGTCTCTTGGAATCCATCCACTCTGCAGCTCTCGAAGCCTTCCGTAAGAGAGAAGACCGAATGCAAACCTTGCTGAAAGATGTGGACCTAGCACCTGGTTTGCGTCATACATTCCTCTAGCAGTCATTTGCCAGGCACATATGGTCAAATGATCGAACGCTCAGCTTCTCAGAACCTTCATGCAGTAAAGAAATGCTGAACGTGTGAACCAGTCTATAACATTAGTCGTGCTTGCAAAAGCAAGTTCATAGATGTCCTGGCTGCAGGGGCACTGTTGGCACCCTTGACTGCTCAAGGAAGGAGTCGCTAGCCAAGCCTGCTCAACTTGCTTGCGTGCTGTCTCCCTACACCATGCGATACCATCAAGCTTTGCTAGGCTGAGGACTGAAAAAGCTATACATACCATTTCATTGCAAGACAATGGAGGCTAACGAATCCACTTCACAATTTCTGGTCCTGTGCTTCTTCGTGGCACTGACCGAAACCAAAGACCCCATTTCTCCTTCCAGGCATGAGATGGCATGAGTGATGTTTTTCGACACCATTATCTAAAAGGTGACCCTTCAATGTGGAGCTTGGCAAGTTTCGATGGTATACCTTAGACACTCGCTGTGTACTTTTGTCTTGGCGGCCGAGTTGGGAAGGTGCAAATCTGCAGTGGGGAACACCAAAGCCACGTGCCCTTACTTTCCCTTACAGGCTCAGTTAAGATCCTTGTCACTTAGGGCCTACAAGGAGTGCGGACTTTGACCCTCTCAGCATTTGATGGGCTGAGGCAAGAAACGAATTCCTCTGTAAAGCTCGTGGAGCTCAGCCAGTCCCAGCTCAACTGGAGTTGGCCAGCTCTTTATGACTTAGGAACTTGCGCTTTCCTTCGTCATGGTCTTCAAAGACTCCTGCAACTTGCTCAAGTCCCGGCCCAAAGCCTAAGAAAAAATGCAGCCATGTCCTTGAGCTCACGGATTTCCTTTATGAGCTCTGGCTCTGGCATCCTCTCTCGTAAGCTAAGCCTGGACTCGCCTCAGATCAAATGCTCTACCCAAGCGGGCAAAACATGTACTTGCCATAAAGGTTTGCACTCCTGCCTGAAGTTGCAGATGGTGACGAAACTTGTCTCATGATACTGCTTGTCGCGGTTGACGAGGACTGGCTCCGTGATGGAATCGTTGGCCTCTGATTTCTCCAGGCGCTGCCAAGTCCGAACTGAATAAACGCTAACTGCATCCCAGCGACTGCTTTTGAAGTCTGGGGTCTTTTGGGTGACTTTGAAGGCTTCTGGACTTTTGCACCGGACGCCTCCCATGGCTGCCTGATCAACAAATGGTCCCTAGCTTTGTCTGAGACCTATCTTCCCTACGCAGGAGAGCGCAAGCAAAGGCATTGTGCCTTGCGAGATGCCTGAGACCTGTTTCTGATATGAACCTTGCGACGTCAGAGAGCTCTGTCTTGCGTAGACCGCCCCTGATGTAGACTTTTGGAGACTTGGCGTGCCGGGCCTGCATCTGTCTCTCATGCCCTAAAAGCCAATTCTGCGCAGCTTGCCAGTGCAATAAGCAAGGAAGGACAGCAGCCTTGAAGGCGTGTAGCACTCGGTTATCCTTGGGGACCTCAGTGGTGCAGTCCCCATTGGCGGAGTCAAGTCGCTGCGTGTCACCGCTGGACTGCTTGCATCCGGGCCGCGGCAAAGATTTGTTTTCCAAGGGCGACAAGAAGCGAGGCTCCAGAAGAACCGCGTGCATTGAGGACTTCTCCGGGTTGTCAAAACGAATGCAAAGTGTTAGCCAATTGCCTCGGCAAAGGACCGCATACAACCTCTGGAGCCCAGCACCTGCTGCAACAGCAACATCAAGTTGCAGGCCGGTGTTTGGTGCACTGGGCTTCTGCACGAAACCTTACTTGTGCAAGGCACTTGCAGGCTGCTTATACTATAGGCCTGAAGACAACCAAGCTCAAGGTCAAGATGCAAGGATGTCCATGGCGTTTGTGAGGACAAATGACAGCGGACAAGCCATTGAGATGGGTCATATGGCCTGAGCTCTACGCTTTTTGCATGAGTCCTTCTCCTATTACACGGGCTACAGCTAACTTTGCTTCTGCCACTTGACACGGACAGGAAGAAAACCCAAACTGACACACACGCACAGGTCCAGGGCTCTGCTCTGCAGACCGCCAAGTACGACGTGTGTACCCAGCCGCCACTCAGAGTGTACCGGGAGGGTCTCCCATAAGTTCACTCGGCACCTGCGGTGGTTCCGGCTTAGTGGTCTTGTGAAAGATTACCGCACTCAGGCCTGCCAAATCGTCAATGCAGAGGCACTGAGGCTAGGGCTCCCCAATGAAGACAGATCGCGAGTCGTCCAGGACGGCGACTGTACAGCTTGGCGCCTCAACGCCTGTGCGGAAAGAGGCTCCAAATGGCCATGTCAGCCAGAAGCTACGGCTCTCTCTGCTTGCAACGTGCCTGTGACGACGGCTGGGCACATGTTAAATTTCGCTGAATGAGCGCACTCCAAGATGACGAGATCACCTGACACAAGCTTGCAAATTGTCAAGGGGAACTGAACATCTTCTGCCGAAACAGCCTGGCTCCGGAACATCACCGCAGCTGGGTTGAATTCTCTCAACTCTGTCGGTGCATTCCTCACGGTCCAAGAGCACATCGATTGGCTGACATCTTAGCCAGCAACTAACACCAATAGATGCATGCTGAGTATCAGAGACAAGTTCGGGGTCTGCTTCATCAGCAGCGCTCATCTCTGCTATTGGCAGCAGCCAGGATAGCCTTGATGTTAGAACCGCTCTTGTGATGGTGCTACTAGCAAATACTGCTTGCATCTCGACTTCATCATCGCTGCAGCGCCGAGGAGCTGCTCACGGGGTAGGGGATCAGCAGCTGCCAAAACGGATGACAAGCGAATGACTGTTGGAAACTCTTCCTCCACATGTCGAGTATGCCTCACTCATTGGGGTTGAATAACAAGAAGGCTATGCATTTCAGCATTGGAGCGCTTGCGTCATCCAGCTGTGGCCCGCACGCCCCCACAAGCCAAGACAGCATGCCAAGAAATCCGCCCGTGCACGAAGGAATCGGCATGATGGGCCCTTCTACCTGCATGTCGCATGCATAGCTGCAAATGACAGGTGAAGTGCTAGCAAGCCTTGGACGAGCTGTTGGCTGTCGGCTCAACTTCATCCACTGCTTGTAGCGCAGACGACTCGACGGAGTGGGGCTTCACAGAGGGAGGAAGCCCAGGCTGACAGCATCGCTTCGAGGTGAGAAGTGTCTTTGGCACAGAAAGGCTGCTGGTCTGGGCTGGAGGCGTGCCCTGAAGGTCCCTTACGCAGAGAGAAAGAAAGCGCGGCTCAAGAAGCAGTGCTCCCGTGGAATTCTCCTCATTTGGATTTTCCCACCTCACACAAAGTCTGAGCCTGGTGTCTCCAGACTCTGGCTTTGGAACAAAGCATGGATGGCCGTACCGGCGATGTTCTCGGACGGTTGCAACCAAGCCGTTGAGGTGCTGCATCTTGCTGCTTTGCAATCCACCGATCACGTGGCGAGTCCCAAGGCGCCAATCTTTGTGAATTGTTCGCATGGCACGGAAGGTTGCATGACACTCCCCGATTTTGAAGGTGCGTGATGGATCCAGGACAGCCACCGCACAATCCACTGGCGTCACCTCAAGCACGACCGCTGCAGCTCCATGAAATTCTGCCTGCACCTCGCTGCCCAGCACAACAAAATCGCCGGCCGAAAAATTCTCCTTCAGCGACAAAGGTGGATGCAATGAAAGGCATCTCCGAAGCATGTCCTAGACCTGCTGACCAACAGACGGAGGCCCGGGCCCCAGCAAATTCAACAAAACCTGGACTAATTTGTGTGATCTGTGCTGCCGCGCAGCCGCATTCAGCAGCCTGCTGCTGTTCGGTAGAACCTGCTTTGCAGGGGCCACCCACCTTCTTAAGCTCAGCACTCCTGACCGTGCCTGCTCGCAGGGATCCAAGCGTGAGTCCTTCAAGTGCGGTGCCTTCGCTGCTCGCGCACTCGCGCTCTGGTCAGGACACCCACAACGATTATATTGAGACCCGTGGCATGTCCTGCCTCATGTCATGTCAAAACCAAGCTGCATCACTCACTGTTGGTTCGGAGTCGAACAGCGAAGTGAACTTGCAAACTCGCGGAAGCCTTGGATGTCATCTACAGCAAGACCAGCAGTGAAGCTGGAGGATCTCGAGCAAGGGGTCTCCGCTAAACCTGCCTGACCAAGTGGCTCTTCTTGTGCATGACGAATCGCCGGGCGATCAGGCCACCATGCTTCCAGCAGCTTGAGGAGGCCTATGGTGCAACCTGCGGGCAACAAATTCGCTCAATGATCCGACATCTGCAATCAGAAGAGCTATGGGGATGCCTTCACTTTCTTATGCAGCCTCTGGCTGATCAAGCTTGCAAGCGAAACCTGCTAGAACGCGCACCCGGCACTGAGCAAAACTGCACGAACTTGGAATGTCAAACTGGTACGCTTCACTCAACAGTTCTCCACCCCATCGTTGGTCCATGTTGAGCCTCCGGGCTCTGCCGTGTTCATGGCAGACGGCCATCTGCGAGCCAAGCTGCCAGACAGATCAACACTTCTGCAAGTGGAAGCGATGCTATGCATCATACCTTGGAGCGCCCCTATCCTCAACATGCTGGCTGAATCCGCGCAAACATGCATGCACAAGGTGAGCCTGTAGCTCAACTTTAACTGTTCGAATGCCACAGCTCCAGCAGAGAATCTACTGCATCTATACAAAGGTGGCAGATCTCGCTCACCAAGGATGTAAGGCCATTCGGTGCAGCGCGCGCTATTGCTGCGCCACCCTCAACAAGCCTGCAAAACCGTTGGGCGAGTCCGGCCAAGTGGGACATTCCAAACAGTTCTCCGTGCTCGGCCGTGTTTGGAGACCAGTCCAGGTAAAGCTTCCAAGCAACCAAAAGACCTGCCACCTTGCTGAACTCGACAAGGAATCCCCAACCAGCAGTGAGCCTGGCGCGTTCCAAGAAGATTTCTTACACTTCCGCCTGCTGTAAAGTACGCGGTCTGGTCTGCACACTGGCGAAAACTTGAAACTTGAGCACTGCTTGGCAGAGCGACAATAGCAATTCGAATGGGTTCACACGCGAGCCGCTAGTCCTTGGGCAGGACTCTTTTTGCTATTTGCGCGATCACCACTGAGACCACGCCGAACGCCAGGCAGCCCTGTAAAGTTGGGACCTCGAAACATCACAACGCATGAATTTGATTCAGGTCTGATCCGCAACAGCTTCTTGTGTGTGTTACGTGATTACGTGAGCTTTGTGGCGTGCTGAGCGGCTGCATCTGCAAGCTGGCCATTGGCAGCGGCAGCCAATGTGGCAACGATCGCGCCCACGAGTGCACAGGGCCCACCAAGCTGCAAGGCTTGTTGCCTTTTCCTGGGCTGTGGAGGCGACACTGACAGTGCAGCTCACTCAGGAACTTTTGGCCGAAAAAAATCCAACTAACATGACCCCTAATCCAGAAGAAAGGGCAAAGATTGCAAAAACACGTGCGAGCATGAAGGCCGATGCGGCATCTGTAATAGGGCACCACTCTGTTTCAGAAGCAGCTCCACTTCGCTACATTATTGCCATGCGCTTCGCAACCTGCGGCTCTTCGTTTTGCTTATCATTCTCCTATGGTTTGCTTCACTCTGCGACTCTGCGAGGGCTGTAGCATCATGCCAACCTGGCAGTGCCCGTCGCTGCATATGCACGCTCACCTTGCTTGTGGCTTCCACGCAGGATTTCAACATGACATAGCTTTCTATGAGGTCTGGATGTGTGCAGTGTTCTAGAAAACCTTGACGCTGCCTTGTAAACTGCATACAGCATGGTCAAGACCAGCATCTCTGTTCGCAAAGACTTGGACCTACCAAAGACCGCGAAGCTGAGATGGATTCTCTGTACACTGACTGTGCCCTCTTCCTGAAGCTGGGGGAGAATGTCTCGAGCAATGGCACTTGCAGATGCCGGACGCAACCCTTTATAAAATTCACGATGATGGGATGACATTCCTCCGGAATTTTGCTTGGCTTGTTCATAGCAGGGCGGGGTCCACAAGCCAGCTGCCTGTGCTTACGAAACTGCTACGTGTTTTTTGGGTTATGTCCAGGCTTCTCAAGGAAGCGCATTCAACAAAACTGGCATGTTGAAATGTAGGAATCTGGAACATGCGAGGAAGTATAGCGCGGAATCATGGCTGTGGTGCTGCACGGCGCAAGGAAGCAAATAGTCATGCACATTCAACCTAAGCTTGAGCAACAGCTGCTCATTTTGCGCTTGAACTGAATCTCCAAAGCAATGCCAAGCTTGACTTCCAAGTCTCTGGCTCAGGAATCCCTTGTACTCTGCGGGTGGTTCCGTCATGGAAAACGGCTTGTCCAGACTCCAGCGAAGCGCCAAGACACAGCCTCTGCAGGTTCTTGCCCGGCAATTGCTGGCTAGATCTACCGCGTGCTACTGAAGGGCTTGCATTCTCAGAGGCGCCTCAGAGAGATTGGCGCCCGGATTCGAAAACGCCCCATGCTACGGCGGCATTTGCGGCAATGGCAGTGTAGTTAAAATCTCCAGCCGCAACCATGCCTATGTACCTCACACTCGCATGACATGGCATGACATGGCAGACCTGCAACGCCAGTGCAAACGTGGTCCAATTTGATGCCAAAGAGGGCAGATCACTTGTAGACACCAACAAGCGCAATAACAGCTGCTCCAGCATACCGGAGCTGCGACTCCTGATATGGCGATAACACCATCCGAACTTCATGGGGCACAAGGCTTCGCAAGCCCAGTCCTGAACCGTGATCATGCGATCCTGCGAAACCAATTTCGAGTAAGGCTGTTCGCTGTCCTGAGCTCAGTGGCATGCATTGCTCTGATTGCGCGGGCCTGTCTCGCAAATACATCGCAGCAAAGGGCTTGCTTACACTGCTAACCGGAACCATGACTACACCATCTGGTCTGACCAATTCTGAGCTGTCACCTTGGCCATGTTGCTTTGGCGCATTGAGATGCGTGCCTGTCATTAATCAAGCTCTCTGAAACCTTTCGATGACTTACATGCAGGTCAGAAATGGAGCATCAAAATACGTAGATATAGGTAGGCTTTCATCCCAGAAAATATATAACTGAACAGGAGAAGGCGAACAACGGAAGTTCGCGCCTTGCGACGCCGCTGAACTGTAGCAGCGAGGGCTGCGAAGGAAGTCGAGGCGAAGCTTGGCCAACCCCAAGACGGCTCCGAGTCCAAATATCTCAGAATCGAATTGACAGCATAAGTACTTGAGTCGTTTCTCTACGACAATAGGTGCTGGGAGAGCCGCGGCTTTCTCGCAACTTGCCGTGACCCAGCGCTCACTGCGATGATGCCCTGCGCCTGGTCTTGCACACCTGGTTGTTGCAACAAGTGAGGCATGATTCGGTATGATGCTGTGCGAGGTGGAAGTTGCAGAACGGTTCCTCTTTCCGAGTAGGAAAAGAGAAGGGCAGATACAACAACCCCGAAATCAGAACAACAGATTTGCGAGGTACCTCGGTCCTGCCTGGTGCGGCAGACCGGTAGACCTAGCATACGTCCCTGCTTCCGTGTCCCGTATCTAGTGCAAAATCTCGCAAACGTTAAAGGCTTTGAAGGCGCTAGCGAGACCTGGCAACGCTTCATCTGTTGGTTGGGCCTATGCTATGAAGCGTAGTCAGGCCTCGACCACTAAACAGTCTGAACAGGTAAGCCACTGTACCCAGCAAATGCAAGGTCCATGGTGCCCATTCGTTCGAGCCAAAACTGTGCTTGTAAGAAAACAAGCTTGTGGACCCTCACCTGGCTTTCAAGAAGGCTTTCGAACTTTGCATGCGCAAAGCCTTGTCATACGCCTTTCTTTCCGTCTTCTGGATCTTCATCCTCATCTTCACATGCAGCGGCTGCAGCTGGAGCTGTGCAACAAAAGAAAAGAAGGAGCAGGAGGAGCAGCAGGAGCGGCAGAAGGAGCAGCGGAAGCAGCAAAGCAGGAGCAGCAAAAGGAGCAGCAGCAACAGCGGGCCCGGCAAAGCAGCTACACCAGTAGCACCAGCAATCGCATCAGCAGCGATCATCACTGCAACAAGAAGAACAAGAAAAAACAAAAAAGAGCAAGAACACATAACTCAGAGCACACAACTGCAAGCAACAATCCCCACAAACGACAGACAAACAGACCAACCGTCAAGGAAAGAAACAAAACAAACAACCAAATAAACAATCAACCATGCACACAAAATGACCAGCCCAAGCAAGCAAACAAACCAACAAACTCACCAGCACCAACATGGCCACCGCTGCCGCAACCACCACCACCAACAGTTGCCGCGCCACTATCAACATCATCAACCATAAACGGCACAACAAGTAACCAACCAGCCAATGTTGCAGTTGCCAAACTCTGCCAACGACATTCAACACCACCAGCAGCAACAACAGCAACAACAGCAACGACAATACCAACAACACCATTACACGACAACGAGGCCCACGGCAACGGCATCGCACACACCAACACCAAGAACTCTAACGCCAAACCTAAGACCAACACAAACTCCAGCAGGCGCTAAAGCCACGGACACAGCCACAGCAACCAGTGTCACTACAATCCAATCTCTGCATCGCAGTGTTCCCGTGCGACTGAAACTGATCACATGGCTGCAGCGCATGACTTCAAACTTGCTGGCCATGAACCCATCCGCACATGACAAAGAAAAAGATCCAAGCTGAATGGGTAACTTTAACTACATCAGCGTGTATTGGAGAAACTTGCTGAGACAGGTTAAGTTTCTCCTGCCTCCTTTTTCCTTGCTGAGACAGAATGCAGGTTCAGGCTCGAGACCCTTGCGCACTTTGTACATCTCGCAGAACGGTAGAGGGGTGCCCCAACAAGTTAAGCAGAGAACGCGCAAAGCTTTGCCTCACATGCACTTCTACACGTAGCCCTTGTTGTAGGAGGTGCCCCCAACCTGCATGGAGATCACAATTATCACATGCAGTGTCAAACTTACCAGACCTTGGCCAGTCAACCGAGTGCTGCCTGGCACCTCAACAACTGAGCTGCGCACTCCAGGGTTCCTTGCAGAAAGAAGCTGCAGGACGCACGATCATGCATACAGCATAGATGAAGAGCGGAGAAGGTAGACATAGCTAGACACACCAGGTCTCCAAGTTGAAGCTACCAATGTCAAATTAATTTCCAGCGGAGGCCAAAAGCATTTTTCCTAGATGCAAACCTGCTGGACTACGGGCCCCATACTGCCAAATCCAGCGACAATCAAGCATCCTCCCACCCAAGGACCTGGAGACTTGGGGCAGCTGAAGAGAGAGAGAGAGAGAGAGAGCTCAGAAATGCATTCAAGGAGCATTGTGTTTGTGGGATCTGACAATTGCCATCTTTGTTGCATGTCAGCTGGGGCAGCATACTCGGTGCCATGCCCGTGCTCTGCAGGAAGCTTGCCACCGACACGTTCGATGGCCTTCATGCTCCGCAAGAAGTGGAACATCATGCGAAACAAAGCTACACAAGTGCTGTCATGCTTGCGAACACTGTCTCTGGAATCTGCCACCATGCTTGGAACTGTCAGCATGTTTACATGTTTAAAAGGTCTGCTGGGGCAGTGGGAGCTGAGGCGAGAGAAGTGGAAGCAAGAAAAAGAAACAGCCGCGTACGTCTGGCCAATGCAGGTCATGAGCAGTGATGGCGTGATGGTAAGGAGAACCATGTCACAGCAGATGGAAAGGCGTTTGATACTGCCTATGCTATTGCAGGCTGAAAGTGGTTGGGCTGTATAACACTACTCGCTGCCTTCTTGATAGCCATCTTCGCCTCGTGCACATCAATTGCATTGTCGAAAACGAAGTCCTCGTGGTAGACATTGCAGCCGAAATGAGAGTAAACTAGCCGTTTGAAAATCGGATATTGAGGTGGAAGGTCAGGGTACTGCGTGAAGTTCTTTGGCAGCGCATAATCAATGGAAAGCCCTTGTTGGCCAAGGCCTATGCAGTATGTGCGGAATGCTGGTGCTACAGCAAAGCGAAAGAGGGTTGCGCGAAGCCTTTCAGAGCCATCCGCACAAACGTGGAAGCACACAGCACCCGCAGGCTGGGAGTCTTGAAATTTCTTCAAGCGGGACATCAAAGTCTCCAATTCGCCAGTTGTGTATTCTGCAAACTCCATGAGCATGTGGTGGTCATACTCCTGCGTGAGCTTCTGCAGCTCTGGTGGCAACGATTTCGGTAGAATGCCGTTGAACCACCACAGAAACTTGTCGCATATGATGGTTGCAAACGGGAGAGGTACAGACTCAATGAAGAGCTTCAGATTCCACAGAGGCTCTAACCTCGTCATACCAAGGACCTCAATCATCTTGATGAGGATCCTCCCAGCTTGGTCAACGGCGTCGTGGACCTCGCGATTGATGTACTCACAAGACTTGGCCATGCAGTCTGGGGAAGATATGCAAACCTGTCGCTTGAGCGCCTGGGCCGTTTCAAAGTCGCGACAGGAGGCCCAAATAACTTTATCCTTTCTGGGCATGGGGTACGTATCATGCAGGGTCGCCAAGATCAGAACTTTACCTTCTGAGCGATTGCACTCAACACCGCTGGTGTCGGCATTGTAGCGCGAGACGCTGTTGTCCAACTTCACAAGGTGCTGCCGGTAGTTCGGCCAGGATGCCTCTCTCTTGCATTTTGGATCTAGATCATACGGTACCAGTTTGGTGGCGGATTCCAGAAAAGACACGACGTCATCACCTTGCACTTTGAGGCCCAGCGTGTCGATCAACTCCACCTTACCCCCCTTAGCGACGCGGCAAAACAAGGCACGGTTTGTAAAGGCTGGCCCCTTCCGAATCTGTGTGCCACCACTTCCATAAGACACACCTGCAGCGACCGACGGGTTCAAAAAAATCGATCCCAAGACCGAGTGAGAATCTCTATTGTATTGCGTCTGCAGCTCTCTCTGGAGCTCGAAAATGCCAGCCCCTGCGAAACACAGCACCTGGCTTGCATCAGCTCCTATTGGAAGGATCTTGTTGAGCCTTCTCATGTTGATGATTACTGTTGGCCTGTCACATTCGCCGCGGGGAACAGAACCACCTGTGAGGGAAGTATTTGCACCTTGTGGCAAGACTGCCACCTCTGCTGCAGAACAGGCTGTGAGAACTGCTATCGCCTCTTTCAATGATCCTGGCTTGACAACAGCCAGCGCAGTTCCTTTGCCCAATCGCGACCCCCTCATTGTGACATTGCTGCTGACGTTGCTCTTCCCAACTATTTCACAGAGTTTGCCAGCAAGCTCTTCTTGAGCGCATGTCAGTTGCACTTCGCAAGAGTGCTGCGGCTGCCTGCGGCCAAACAGAAATCCTGAGAGGATCCCAGCGCTCGCGGCCATGGCCACGGCTTGCGAGCCAAACCTCCCTGACTGGCCAGAACTCGAGGCCGTTGAGGCCGTTGCCATCGAAATGTACCGGGCATGCCGGGCATGCTGGGCTGCTGGAAGCCATTGCCGCAGCTGCCGCAGCTGCCGCAGCGATCTTGCCAAGTGAGCCATGGACTCGTGCTCTGGAGCCAACCCCCCTGACCGCTGCTCTTGATCCAGCGCGCATGTTGGGTAGAAGCGAAACACTTAACGTAGTCTTGTCAGGCAACCGGAGGTCTGGAATGGTTCGCATTGCCTGAACAAAACCTCAACTGCACTTCAAAAATCGATGCACCCAAGTCAATGGCGTTTTATCCAGCTGAGCCAAGTCGAGGTGACTAGGGCTTGTTGGAGATGCTGGGCGCAGTCTTTGCAGCTGCCTGGGTTGCCATGCGCAGTTCCACAGACACGGAAGCACTCATGCGTTTCAAGCCTTCTTCTTGCATCCCATTCAGCTTCAAAGCAGCTAAACCCACTTTAGGAACATGCATATAAGTCATATAAGCTAAGTTATCTGCTTGCCGTACCGCTTTTGCCAGGTCTCCTCGCTGTATCGCTCATGGGCGCACGAGGAACTCTGGAGAGTTGCTGTGGCACCTTTGATTTCGTCCGGCGCGATGGCGCTTCCCACACCAAGCGCTCTAGCATCCATGCCAATGAGGTGACCTGTCAAGAACATTCCGTTGGGCAGATGTCATGTTGCATCTGAACGAGGGCAAACGGCGCTTCAGGTGCTCCCTGCATGGCTTCTCAAGCTTTGGCAGAGGGCTCAGGATTTCAAGCCTTCCTTTTTACAGCCTGTACCAATTGAGAGCACACCCAACCGCATGGGAATCAGAAGCAGGCAGCGCACCAGACTGACCAAGTCATCTACATCGAACTTCGCCAACTGCGCTGTGCTCCTCAACACCGCACCACAGGCAAGCGATCTATGTCAAGTCAGGAATCAGAACAGGAGTTCAGTGTTAAATCTTGGGGCCAAGAGTCTCGACGTACTGAAGCAGCGGCGGTCCCAATTCTCTCAGCCTCAAGCCTTGGAGGAAGTAAAGTACGCAAAGCCAAAGCATCCAAAGAGCTTTTGGCCAAGCCAAGAGCCAAAAGCCAAGCCAGCCAAGCCACAAGACTGACTCGCACCTGCCCACATTAGGCGGCTGAGCTCTCGTGCTGCAAACTTGCTGAGATCCGCAGCGGCGACGTTCAGCAGCACTCGCAAAGCCGGTCGACACACGTAAGGCTTCAATTCCTCCATGACATTCCACAACTCAAACAACTTGCCTTCAACATGGGCTCGCTCGTTGCTCTTGTATGGTAATGTGTCCGTCCTGTGGCCAGCCAAATAAGCGGCAGTGCCGTTGCCACCGTGCCAGTGACCAGGCCGCATTCATGATGTGGCGTGGCTCGAAGTCCTGACAGCGGCTTTTTGAACGATGACACTCCTAGCCCAAAACGCACAATGAGCAAGGCATGCAAGACACGATCCCCTCCTGAGCCCCCCCGTTGCGAATCTCTCTTGCAGCATGCTGAAGCATGCGCTTCACAGCGCGCACAGCAGGGCCCCTGCCCTGAACTCCGAGAGTGTACGCAGCCCACATGGAAATGGAGAGCTCCTTCACATGCGCTGACAACTAATCAGCTTCTTGCGTGATGGGCCATCACGCCTGACCAAGAACTCTCGCTCCAGAGCCAGCATAAATCTATGACTTTCACAATGGACTACACACGAATGATAGTCCTTTTGCCTGCTTTTAAGTAAAAGTCCTGCGGCCGAAACTGCTTCCAGTGAAGCTCCGCGGCTCTTGCTGCCAATATCTCCAGTGGTACTTGCGCTTCACATCGGAGAACAGCAAATGCCCACAGAAAATTTGAGATATCTTGCGGCATCCACTTGCTTGCCCGTGACTTCTGCGTCTCACTTACCGCAGACCAACAGAAGTCCTCCGAATGGACTTTTGCTTTTGCAAGTGCCCAAGTCAGTACCACCATGTGCTTTGACTCAAACTGATGCAATCTGTTGGTGGCCTCGTCTGCAAGCGCTGCCAAAAGCTCCATGGACACTTGGGGCTGCATGCTTACGAAGGCCCAGCCGATGTTTGCCATGTCCTGTCCGTCCAGGCGAGATCTGGAGGCCATGATTGCAGTCTTCAAGGCATCCAGGGCAGATTCTGTGCAGGCCACGTCCCCGAGATTCATCTTTGCTGCTGCCCACGCAGCGATGGCAAGGTCGCGGGGTTGAGCGTTACCCGAAACGGTGGACACAAGGAGCTCTGAGCAGACCTCCTTGTGCAGACCCGCTTCAGTACTCGAGAGACCCGTCGTCGGACCCGGATTCTGCGCTAGGAGATGTAAAGCCGTCGAGGCGTTCACAGCCCCGAGCTGGTCCTTCCGTGCCCGCACTGCTTGCAGAATTTGAGCCGTGGTCTTAGGATCTGGTGTGGAGCTCGAAGTGCCAGAAGCTGCTCCCAGTAATTCCTTTTGAATCTGCAGCTCCAGCTTTGACACTCCTTGATTGAGCAGCCGATATACAGCACCTGCTTCACAAGCAAGAGTGAGGTGCTTCGATATCCTGCTCATGGCCACAACCACCCATTCAACAAATGCGTCCTCGACAGTCAGTCGAGCCGCCACACAGAGCTTGCTGCTAGACTGCCAGCAGCCATCATGCAAGACCCAAGCGCTGCATGATGCTGCAAAGAATGTGTTTTCATAGACCTTTTGAGATTGGAATCATGGATTCTACTTGCGTGCCGTGCCCATGTCTAGCAGCAAACTGAGATCGAGCGTTCGCGGCGCAGGCTGTGCAGGACTCTAGGATTAACAGCGGTTCATCTAAAAGCAGCAGACACATACAGCGACAGCATGCTGCACAAATTGCCTCTTTGGACCCGTGCAGGCGGCAGCACTGTCGCCAGAGCCAGTTGCTGACTTGCCGAGTCCTATCTCCAAGAGCATCGCCTGGCACTTTCCCATGATGAAGGTCTTCATCTTGCGACTTCTTGCAATTCTGTTCGACCCACCTTCTGGAAGCTGCACCATGTACAAAGTACACAATGCTCCAGCAAAAGGTGCTTTCCAGCTGACAAGCTCGATGCCCGAGACCTTTTTGCTTGACTGAGGCTCACCGAAAAAGAGCTTGCAAACCCGCCTCCACCCGAGGAGCGCCGGGAACAAGCAAGAGCGAGCCACCTAGCTTGATGCATGCGTTGCATTATGCAGGTGCATCCTTTTGAAATCGTGTTCCTCCTCTTTATCCTGCTTCTTTCAGTCTTCTTCTTCTCGTCTTGTCCGCTGCGTGCTCCACTGGTGGGCACACCCGCAAAGCCGCGACCATCCATTCAATCCCTGAGCGTCGGACACCCGAGTCCCAGCATCGCTGCGCAGCTCATTGGGCCGGTTCCGCCAGAACGGTTAGCTGCTTCACCTTGGCTCGTTTGGCTCTTTTGGCTTGGCTTGCTGCTTGCTTTAAAGAGTGGCAGGATAACTCAATGTACTCATATGCATGGCCGGTCGACGAGCAGCGTCGCAAAGCATTTGACCAACACTCGAAGTTTCCTCCACTGTGACAGGCTGCGGCCCAACCCCCCAACAATCCCAAGTGAAGTGCTGTGCTGCAGCCTCTTCTTCAATATGGGCATCTGACCTTCCGCCAGCACAAAGAACCAAAAACAAGTTCTGAGGCCGCCGATTTCTCTGCCCTGGGCCTGTCACCCTCAGCTGCGCGGCCAGGGGAAAGGTGCAGCTGCAAATCAGCCTCGACACTTGGAGTAGGAGCACACCATGACGTTGGACCATGCATGAGGTCGCATGCAATCTGGTCGCTGGAGATAGCGGTGCAAAAGAACACAACAATGCACAGACGGTGACCCACCAGTGTTTCTGAAATTCTTTGCAATCGATAGCTCAAACCTGGCTTCCGAAGCTTCCTGTCAGATTTCATCTCTGCATTGGATGTTGCGGGTTCGCCCAGTTCAAATATTGGAGCATAGCTCAACAACCCCAACACAAATCCTAAAAGTTGTGCATCTCGCGTGCAGGTCATTCCGCCCAGGCGAATGGGCTAAGGCTTGTTCCGGCGCCATTGCGAGAGCAATGATGAAGCATACTGCAACTGAGATGGCGCCGCTACGCCGCATTCTCCAGTCAGCGCCCTGCCGCCCAAGCGCCAGTTGCTCAAAGCTTTTCTCGGTTAAGCCTACGTGCCGCACCCTGCACAAACATTAGAGCGGTTTGCCTTCTCCTTTGCTAGGACTCTCCTGACTGTGCACTTGCACAGATAATGGATTCGTGTCAACTCTGCTTTTGCAACATGTGCACCGGCCATGCCACAGAGCCACGTAGCTGACGTACGAGCATCTGCCAAGTACCAAACAACTGTATTCATACCTCATGCGCGGCAGCCGTTGCATCTGAAGCATCACTTGTCTTTTGAGCCGCTTGTGCCTTCCATCATGTGCTACCTCTCTGGGCATGGTGGATCGGCAGCACTGTTTGGAGTGCTGAGCCCTGCAACAGCGCTCTGCCTGACCTGGGCTCAAGGCCTCACGCACTGCCATCTTGGGCATTTGCAGGTACTGTGACCCGCAAGTGCTGCAGGCCAAAGGCTAAGTCTTGGCAGGATTCCCCTCCTCAGGACTAGGTCAGGATGTTGCGTTGAAGCCTGCGCAGTCCACAAGCGAACAACCTGGACCGGTGCAAAATGTTGTACAATGACTTTTTCCATCCCAACAGATCTGCAGAAACCTGACGCATCACGCGTCCAATGAGCTCCAAACGTGCTCGGCGCTAAGAGTTGCACAGTGTCCACGGCACATGTCATCGCGGTGGGACGATTTACTCATTTTGAAAGTCAGGTGTGCAATTCTGAACGCACAGCCCCGAGGGCAAAATCCTTGACTGTTTCAGCCTGAACGGGTGAACTATTCTTGTTGACGATGCGGACAGAGGCCTAGTAAACGACTATCGGTGGCTTCAAAGCTGGGTTGGATCCAAGCCGGCACTGCAATATAAGTCTTGAATGTCTTGTGCATTATTTTGAACAAGCTTTGTCCACACCAGAAGAATTGCAGGGCATCACTTGCGCGACGCCTGCTTGAGTTCAAATTTGCACATTGGCCATCACGGCTTTTTGGACGGCCCGACAAGAAACAGCAAAGGCCCCCAACACGTCTTCTCGTTCGTGCTACAAGGCTTGGAATTAAGTAGCATCTATGCAGGCTGTCGTACTCGTAGGGGCGGGCATCCTCTGGCAAAAGAGGGCTGTAGGCCGCTATGGCGGTCTCTACGTCTCTCTTGCCAAGTGCTTGGAAAAAAACTGTTACAAGTCAAGCTAGGCCTATAGCGTAAGCGCTAAAGCAGCCAGCTGCTTAATCGCTTCCAAAGAAAATGACTGCATTCGAGGACTTTGCTCATCTAATCTCATCTAAGGCCCCTCCTCGATTGCGTCCAAACCTCAGCTAATTTTGCCACCAAAATCTTCACCGCTGAATCGCACCGCAAGAGTTTCGCGGAAGCTCGAGCCACCCAGCATCAAATAGCCGCTTACAAATCCAACCCGTTCAAAACCGTATTTGCCCAGAGGCTAGGCTCAAGAGGCGGTTGCCGCCGCAGATGCCCGTATCGTTTAGACTTTCGCGACTTGGTATTCAAGCTTCGGTATTGCGAGAAGGCCTGGCAGCAACCAGAGGAAAACAAGGGGATGTGCTCAGCTTTTCCACCCGCCTTGCACTCCACCTCCTGAGATGAGCAGGCCCATTCCAGTGATCCGAAGCATAAGTCTGACTGCCGTTTGTTTCAATTGTGCCACGAAAATCTTGAAAATGCCACAACCGCGGCAAGTGCAACAAACCATGTCACGACACAAGTATGCCGAGCGTCTACCAAAAGAGCATCCACCTGGCATAATCGCAATGTCACGACCATCCAATGAAAATCCTGCATGCAGAAGGTGCCTCTTCGTTGACGTCGCCGTCATAGAAAGGGTTTTCGCAAACCTTTTCCACAGATCGCACTGCGGCTATGTCTTCGCAGCATGCCGCAAGATAAGAATTAGACTCCTTTTCTAGACGCGCCTGCGCCTCTTGGTGTGCTTCATCCTCACTGATCTCCAATGGGCTGGCATTGCCACCCAAACTGTCAGCGGACTCACCCGACCCCGCCTAGGGCAAGGAGTCCGACGATAAACGTGTTGTTGTGCTGAAGTTACAACAGAAGCTGGCTTTTTGGCTCAAAGCCTGAAGCTATCAGCTATCCTCTTCCAAGCGACCTGATCTGAACCATTCGTAGCGCTCCGTGGTATTACGGCTACAGCCTCCACACAGTTGAATCAACTTCAACTGGCATCTCCCAGGCACGGGCTGGATAGGGCTTTGCTGCCATTTGTATGAAGCAACCATTCAGCTGAGAACCTCAAATCCCGTTTTGAAAGCCTGCAAGTAGCGAGCCTTGGCACCAGGCTGGGGCTGCCTTGCATCGACCTCCATGTCACCTGGGCATAACCAGACTGAAGGCTTAAAGGGAGCGCACGAGAAGAGGTCTGCAAGTGTGCTATGGCCAAGGGGAATGGCCAAACCAAAAGATGAACGGTTGCCAGATGCAACATGATACTGTGCTGTGCCAGCAAAGCTGAAATTATCAGTAGCTCATCCCAGAGTGAAACAACCTAGATCCTAGGTGGTGGCTTTTACAGATGCGCCCAACAGCCAAGCTGAGTGTGGGGAGCATGAGACAACTAAACCTCTCACAGCCGAGCCAGTGAACAAGAGCAGTCACATGCCCCGGACAGGGATAAGGCCAGGCAACAAACTGGTTCTTCTTCCTCTCCTTCTTCAGCGTCGAAATCACTATCTCCATCACTTTGGATACCTGCAGGAGGTTGGCAGCGACTAACGTGACACAACCTTGTTTGCTTGAATTGTTGTCCTTCCAAACACTTGAAGCTCTCGCTTCCTGAAACACCCAGTGCTTTCCGAGGGATGCCACTGAAGGAGCAAGCGAGATGTTAGAGCTGCATAACCACAAGACTAGCGCTGCTTGAAGCTGCCTTTCGCAGGTTGCAAGAGCCGAAAAAAGGCGCATGCATAAGTGTCGAAAAAACAAAAAAAGTGACGATTGAAGGCTGCGGCATGTAGAAGAGACTGCAACTGCTTGGCAGTAGATGCGTAGCTTACTAGGCGGAAAAATGGCCACTCAAGAATTCCTCATTAAGTTCGTGTCGTCATTAGATATGCAGTTTCGTTGCCGTGCCAAGAATTCCAACACTCTCCGCAAGCGAGGCAAGCCTACATGAGGTAGCAGCAGCAGCAGCAGCAGCAGCAGCAGCAGCAGCAGCAGCAGCAGCAGCACCTTCAATGCCAGAGTTTGCAGAAGCAAGGCTCAGAAGAACTGGTGCTTGCAAGGCCAGACGTCGCGGAGCTTGTTGTTGCTGTTCACGTTTTCGGTGGCTTCAAGTGGCTTCAGCAGCAAGGGAAAGACTCACATACGCAACTCCAAGTGAACAAGGATGAGCTTTGCGGAATTCAAAAAGCATGAATGAAAGATCGCCATTCCCATCAACAGCCATTTACCCAGTGGGCGAACTGCACCAGAAGCGACTGCGCTGTCCTCTGGCATCCTGTGGCCCTAGCGTTGGCAAAAACACTATTCTTGTCAAAGTGCGCACCACGTTGACGCTGCCAGAGACCAAGGTCATGTCTGGCTGGCCAGGATAATAAAATTCCAGAGGGCCCTCAAAGGAACGCACCTCGATCACCGAGTGACACTAGCCACTAGCACAACTCGTGTTCTCTAGCGGAGCGAGGCTGCGAAGCACTGCTTGCAACTTCCAGGGCACCTCACCAACAGCTGCACCAGCACAACACCGTTGTGTTTCCATCTGTACCCAATTCCTGAAATCATCCCAGCACTTGCTGCGAATCCAATGCCTTGGGTGTCAACAAACACTTGGTAGGCCCGTTCCAGGCAGGTTGCAAGCATCACGAACTCATGGGGCACAGGCTTCATTTCAGGGACTCTGCCGGGCTCGTCCTTTTTGCCTCTCAGGGTATCGAAGCGCAGGGTGGCCTCCACAATGCTGAGGCCTGGCGAAATGGCAAATCAAATCCTCATCTCTCTCTGACCAACTGCTCCCGCCTTCTGAGTAGCCATTGAAGATAAAGGAGATGGAACCCACCTCCGGGAGACCTAATACCGAAGAGCGCAGGGACGAGGCGGAGCCTGCACAGCGATCATCGGCTACAAGTTCTGAATGGTTTGACTGAAGGCTTGGACTCAAAGCTGGCAGAATGCAGGCCAGGAGCTTGCGGATTTCTTAGACGCAGACTCCTTTGACTCTCTCGACCCCCTGGATCCGGTGCTGGGAGGACGCTTTTGACGGGTTTCGAAGCCTGGGCTCGGTGACAGGAGCGGAAGGTAAAGCAAGATTACGACTCCGAAGCCCTCTCAATGCAAACGCCAGTGGCTCTGTTGCTGCGCAGCCTCAGCGGCTCTCACAAGCCCAGGTTACCCCGAAGACCTCAAAATGCCTCAAACAGCCTCTCATCAGTTCTGGCTTTTGCACCCTTCAAGCTTGTGATACGCCCACTTCTAAGGGAAGCCTCTTTGATGTTTGATGATGCTTTGCTGCCAGTGATGCCACAGGCTCTGACATACAAGTTCACATGCTCTTGCTTCCGGTCGCCAGGACCAGCATCCATTGCATCTTCCCTCATTCTTCAGAAGCGCCCCAGGAGCTCTCGGGAACAGCATGACGAAGCTATGCGAGCCACCAAGGTTTTTGCGGCAGATGGCGGCCCGCGTCACGATTATCTGAAAAAGACGAGACACTAAATTTTGGGTGGAGAGGTACCTCGGCTTCAGGGCATCCTTTGCATCGCAGTCATGTTGACCACACTCAGGCACTACCATAGTGAGCTAGCAAACAAAAAGCACTGTTTCTAACTTCTGGGTTCAAACGAGCATCATTAGCTCTGCATCGGGGCTTTGATCCATGGGAAGATCCGGAGCTAGCACTTCACGGACGTCATGCCGCGCCATACTAAACGACTCCTTAGCGCAAGAGCATGTGCATCATGGTGCAGTCGCCAGCACCCCACCATGCCAACTTTCTGTTTTGAGCCAAGCTGCTTGAATGCCGACGAGATGTCGAGGCTGCGGCTGTGAACCCGCAGTAATGTCTGCAGCCGGAATGCTCGAGTGGAAGATTTGAACCACACGGCCAGATTTGCCTCACTCACAGGCTGTAGTTCCATCATGGGGGACAATTCAGCACCTTCTAAAATAGACATGCGCTTTACGGCTTTCACAAGGACAGGATATGATCATGATCCGTAGTACGAATCAAGTACCAAGCCCCTCCCTCATGATGATACACCTCAGGTTCTCTCGCAAGCGCTATCAGACCCATTATCAGACCATAAGATTACAGCATACGGCAACAGGTTCTACGTCAGACGCACGGCTGAGAGCATTGGAGACCACAAGCACAGTTCTTGCAAACAAGAGGCCCAGCTGTATCGACAATGAGGATGCCGGGCTTCCTCCGGAAGCAAGCCACGCTACACGGGTTGCAAGGATCCAGATGATCCAGACCGGTGCCGACGACCTACTCCCTCCCCAACTGGAAGAATGATGGGAGGCACAAAGCTGAGATCCACAGAGTCTCCAGATTTGAGAAAAGAAAAACTACACAAAAAACCTTTGGCTGAGGCAGTCTTTGACAGGGGCAACAGTCAAAGCCTACGCACCTGTAGGCAGCGCAGATGCAAGCCAGAACTGTGTGCGCGGCGCGCAGATAATCAGACTTGTTTTTTCTCAATAATTTTCAATGAGCTACGAGCTGCTCGGCAAAGAAAGACAGCACGCTTCTGCCAGCTTCAAGGGCTTCGGAGCTCCTCCATGATCCTCCATGTGCTTTCGCCCCCAAAGCCGTGCTACAAGAAGGCAATCAACCTTCAACAAACCCATACGCCTGTTAGCCCAGGCAAAACTCGGAACAAGCCTATTCTGATTTCTGAAACAAATTCTAGCCAACGGTAAACAACTGTCCCCAGTTACCCCAGTTGGTTAAACCGGCGAGAGGAAAGGCCAGAAGTAAGAGCGAGGGGAAACAGATTCGTTTCTCAGCTCTGGCAGGCCTCCACCCTGAAGTGAGATTGAGCTCTCGCTGAGAACGTCCATGCTGTCACTGACGTTGTTGATGCTCGTGTGACTAGGCACGGGGGTCTTCAAACTGCTGTAGCCACTGTTACCCGCTTGCTGAAGCTTCGGGCCCAGCCCAAGAACAACTAGGGCATACACTGCCAACACTGAATCTGTGCCAAGCAACTTTAAGAACTCTGTGAGTTTGGTTTGGTCAGCATCTGCAACAAACTGATGAAGCTTCAGTCCTCGCATGCCATGGGAATCAGACATGAGCAAGAAGTGGCATTTCACAAGGGCGCGCGACTTGCCAAACTGTCTCCTCCGACCGAGGTCTCGCTCGCACTGAGCTCCGGCCCGAAGAAATGCTCGGCTTTGTTGCTTGGCTGGCCTCAGCTGACACACAAGGGCTGAGAAGACCGCTCTCCAACAGCTTGCAGCACAAAGAGTGTTTTGGAACACCAACATCAATGCCATGTCCTTTTCCTGTTTTGCATGAGCCGGAGGGCTGCTGAAAGTTGGGACGACTTGGAGCCTCTCCAGCGAAGTGTTGCGATTCCGCTTCATTGCTGCCCACTCCCTCCACCTAAAGCCAGCTACATCCCCATTCCATACTCACGCTGAACACAAAACGCCACAATCGGCACCCAAATCTGAAAATGAGGAATCATCGTCATCATCACCACGCGATGCTGAAAATTCGGTAGCAGGCGATCATATGGACCATCTGCAATCACGTGCTTATTTGTGTGCAGGGAAGGCATGCGGCAGGCTAGATCATGGATATTCGCTATATGGAAAGCCGCTGCGGCGGTTGTCAAGACTTCTTGCTGTATTTAGGTTGCTTGGCGGGGGGATGTTGATTCTGAGGCACTGACGGATCACCAGAGGTAGCCCTGTTCAGCCGGTCATGTTCCCTTAGCACCGCGGGGGCATCATCACCCTCGTCATCATCTCCAGCAGCAATCGTGGGAAAACCTGCATGCCGCAGGCCTTGTCCGTCCTTATAATGGTAGTTTGAAAATTTCATGTTCCATGTGCCTTTTCATTCTCCCTGTATAACCCCTATAGTTACCCAACCCTTTGGATGGATTTTCTGCTTCAGCCTTGAAGCCCCGAAGCTGGACAACCTCAAAGATCTTTGAGGGTTGAATACCCCACGTCGCACCACTGTTTAAGAGACTTCCTGCGTCACGTCCAAACTGAGGGTCCTTCCTTGCCTTTGTGAGTTGTGCTTTGTAGCACAACTTCCGCACTCCCGGACCCATTTGCCCTGTAGGCGACATTTTTCAAGCTGAGCCCAGGCCCGTCCACAACCACTTACGGTGGCAGTTCAGGCAGTTGAGCCTTGGAATCCTTTCTCTGGCTCCATACTTGGTCGGGCTTCCGTCCTGACTGTCAATGCTAGCCGTTGGCTACCCAGCTTCATTGAGGAAGCAAGCGTTCGTGCAGGATTGAATTGCCAGCATTTGGTGTGAGGTATCAAGCGCATTCCCCGTGCTATTGCGATGGTTCCAAGTTCTGAAATTCACGCCCAATGCACGTGCGGGAGTGCTGGAGACTATGCCTCCAGGCTTTCTTACCGTTCCGCTTTGGAGAATTCAAGATCAAAGGTAACAGGAGGCTTGATTGGGAATGATTGGGATCAATTCCCCCGTGGCTGCCTGTAGCAGTGGCTTGGATGATGCCGAACTTTGAACCTTTTTGCCTCCTCCAACTTAGCCATGCGGTAAGAATTCCCACATGACTGCCTGTTGCATTGGCCCGCATGAATGCCTGTTGCAGTTGCCCGTAAGATGCCGACCTTTGAACTTTTTTTCCTCCCTCTAGCTTAGCCAGGCGGTAAGACTTCCCGCATGACTACCTCTTGCAGCCCGGATGATGCCGACCTTTGAACTTTTTTTCCTCCCTCGAGCTTAGCCA